ATATGAATGCAAGAATTCTAAAACATCTCCACTGTGGAACCTGTGCACTTCCAGATAAAGGAATTGTTCCTTCTAAAGATCAAATATAATTATAGTGACAAGACTGGAGATGTTTGAATCTAAAAAAGTTTCTAAATCTGTAGAATAAATTGGAGAACATAAAAGAGAAAATAAATGCCTCCAAATCAATGAGGTGCATTTTTTTTGTTTTAATAAAACACTAAATAAATGAAATGTCATGTCTCTAAAAAACTATTGACAAAGGTGAGAAGACTACTCCCCCACACACAAATCTTCTTGCTTTTAACATACATATATATTTATGACTGAGATGGCTATAGGGACTAAGAGAGCACCCTCATACATATTTATACCAAAATTGTAGGTTCCAACTTAAAAAATCCTGTTTTGAGAAATCACCAGAGCATTGTAAGATAAACCCTTCACTGTAAAGCTAGATTTCTGAAGGATCCACTTCTCAACTGGACTGCTGCCCTAATAAAGAGATCCTGAACCCTAGGACAATACAGAACAAAACTCTGAGTTAAGAGTATGTCTCTGGTTGGAGTTTCTAAAAAGTTCCAAATTCCCCTTTCCAAATTAATAAAAGTAATAGCTTATCATTTGCTACTTTCCCTATTCCAGAGTCCCCCTTCTCAAACCCCTGGTGACTGTGTGCTCTGCTAACTGATGAACCCAGCCAAATTCCATCTTAAGATTGGGAGCCATCTTGTCACAGAGTCATGAAAAGTTAATTTCTGTTTTACTATAAATTCCTGAGATCTATCAACTTCTTTGGAATTCCTGCCTGTACCTTGAACTCACCCATGCCTGGCTTGCCCTGACCAGAACAACCCTCTCTGATACCTCAGTGGTACCTCATAAATTCTGGCTTTCCCTGACAAGATAACAATCCTCTCTGAAACTCTAATAGTGCCTCATAAATTCTGATGTTGGGATTTATATTTACTCAATAAGTGCTGAACCACTTAGACCTTTAACCTACTACTTGCCTTTGTATTATGCATTTCAAAATCCTGTTACCTGTAAGTTCTCAAGACACCCCCCCTTGTTGCAACTTTTTGTGCTATAAAACTGAGCTCCTAGATAGTTGGAGTACTGTCTTCTATTCCCACATATTTCAGGAGAGGGACAGTCCCTGCTGGTCAGAATTACAAGCTTGCTTTATTTTGATTTAAATTGGAGTCAGTGGTCTTTTCTTTGCATCATGGTTTAACACTAACACTGTTGACCTCTTTCTTATTCTATTTCTGCTACACTACAAACTTCTTTTTGGGAAGAAATTTGTATAAAAAAAATGAATCAGTATCTTATTGAAGGCAATATTTTAAATACCCATGTGGAGTCCAGGCATAGAAGTACTCAGAGGTAGAGCACTTGGCTCGTATGTATGAGGCATTGTATTTGATTCCCAGTGCCATATATAAATAAGCAAATTTAAGAAAAAAAATGGTCCATCAAAAACAACAACAACAAAAATATTTTAACAAAAGGAGAAAGAGACTGCTGAGTTCACCATGTCTGTCCCATGTCTGTCGCCTCTTTTGCCTTCTGCCACTTCACCTTCTCCATGACACAAAAAGTTTGGCCAGTGGTGCACGGGATTGCTCTTTATTCTTCTATGTCCACACTTCACTTTTATTCTTGACACTTACAAGCAACAGGGGTGGGGAAGAATTGAGCTGGTTCAAGGCCAACTAAAGAACCATCCTGTACCTTGATACCAGGAGATTAGCATAATTGTTGGGATATTGGCATAGCAAGAAGCATTGAAGGGTCTTGGTGACCAATGTCATTTGTTAGTAGGTTTCTAGAACTGCCCACTACACAAAACTACTACTCTCTACATAAATTTCCTCTGAAAAATTTGGGGTACTCATGCAAACTTGCACTTTACACAGGTAATATATTCCTCTGACCCCAGCAGTGCTCATGTTTTGTGTGGTACTGAAAGATTTTAGCTGCCCAATAACCTACAATGGAAGTCACCACCTCAATCTTAAAGAAATGTGATTCATTCTTATTAGGGTTAGTACAAAATGCATAGATTTTGCCTAAGACCATCAAACCTTCTTATATGACTTTTGGAATGCTGTTAGTGTGCTAAGAACAGCCCACACACTGACTAGGGATTTTGCCCTCAGAATACTTGAGGTAGCCTCTCCCATGCTTTATTAGAAGCTAGCATCATGGTTTCCTCTTCTTTTTGTACCTGGACCTGGACCATGAGGCATCAAGATGTGAACCACATCACAAGTGCACACTAGAGTATCAAGGGAAGCAGAAACACTAAAATAGAAAGGCCACATCTACAGTCTGCAAAACAAAACTTGTTAGGCAACCAATGATGTACTTAACTCATTCTCTGTCTCCCTCTCTCTCCCTCCTTCCGAGCCACCATGAGGTAAATAGTCTCTCTTTCCCTACATCACTCCATATTATGTTTTGCTTCACCTCAGGCCTAAAGCAAGGTGGTCAGTCTGTGATACACTGAAAAAGTTATATGACCATGAGCCAAAATAAATCTTCCCTCCCATAGGTCGAATTTTCCAATATTTCTGTCAGTACAATGGAAATGTGACGCATAAATCAAACTGAAACTTGTAAAGGCTCTATCAGATTTCTGGTTCAGAGTTTCTCAACCTGTACAATTTTTTTTTTCTGTTCTTCAAAGGAACTGTAAAAATTAGACTCTTTCACACATTACTTCTTTCCATTACCTTTCATGTATAAGAAGTAAATATCACACATTTAGAGGGTTTCTCTTCCACTGTCAGTGAAATGGCTTTGAAAGCAACAGGGAAAAATGATTTATCACTTCTTTAATGTTCAGAGTTTTTGTAGTGTGAATCCTTTCATATTTGAAAATGAACAGGAAAACTGAATTATTTCCCAGAACTTTTGCATTGAAATAGCATTTCTTTTTGTTTTATATTTATTGAGTTGTAGATGAAAACATAGTATCTTTTTATCTTTTTATGTCGTGCTGAGGATTGAACCCAGTGCCTCACACATGCAAGGCAAGCGCTTTACCACTGAGCTATAGCCCCAGTCCCTGAAATAGCATTTCTAATTATCATTTTTTTAATGCTTATTAGGGGAACTGCACCAAAGGGAAGTGTTTACATTAATATAGCTTTGTTCTGATTGTTTATATTAATATAGCTTTGTTTCAGAAGTTATTTTATGTTTTTAAATGTCACTGCAACAAATGACTTACTACATTGTTTATGCACAAAGAACTTCTCACCAGTATGTTTGTTCTTGTATTTGAAGGTAGGAAGATCAATTGAAAGCTTTTGCACATTGTTGACATTCATAAGGCTTCTATCAGGTATGAATTTGTTTGTGATTTGAAGCTAATAATAAGACAGGTTAGGGATTGTGGCTCAGGGGTAGAGCGTTTGCCTACCACGGGTGAGACACTAGATTAGATCCTCAGCACCACATAAAAATAAATAAGTAAAATAAAGATATTCTGTCCAACTACAACTAAAAAGAAAAAAAAAATTACACAATACACAATCAAATTTTTTCTCTGTGATACGAGTGTGCTATGCAATTGAAGGAGAATGGAAGTCCTGAAAGCTTTTTCACATTGTTTTCATACAGTATTTTTTTGGTATGAGTTTTCAAATTGAATTGGAATTAGCAAAGGTTGTACCACATTATTTACTTTCAAGAGGCCTCTCTCCAGTATAAGTTCCTTCATGTATATGAAAATAAGCATAACTAGTCAAATCTTCACCAGACTGTTTACATTTTTAAAGTATTTGAAGGTAAGCCAAACTACTGAAGGCTTTACCAGACCATTTAATCTCACAGGGCCTTTCTCCACTGAGATTGTTCATGCATTTGTAGGAAAAGAGAAAAAGAAAAAAAAAATGATGTTTTTTTTTTTTTTTCAATTTTTTGGATATTGATGAACCTTTGTTTTATTTATTTTTCTATATGTGGTGCTGAGAATCAAACCCAGTGCCTCACACATGCTAAGCAAAGGCTCTACCACTGAGCTGCAACCCCACCATGAAGGTTTAACACATTGTTTACATTCATAGAGCTGCTCTCCAGCATGAGCCTGTTCATGCACATGAAGACAAGTGGAAGGACTAAAGGTTTTACCTCAATGTTTACATACCCAGGTAACATTCTTTCCAGTATGAGTATTTTCTTGGGAGTGAAGTTCACCAGTTGAAGCAAAGGCTTTTCACATTGTTTACATTCGTAAGGCTTCTTTCCTGTATGATTTTGTTCATGTGAGCAAAAGTAATCAAGGAAAAGCTTTCCCACAGTGTTCACACTAATAATTTTCTCCAGAATGATTTTGATTAAGCCTTTTAAGGCTAGACAACGTAGTGAAGACTTTTCAACATTGTTTACATTTATAGGGCTTCTCTCTACCATGAATTCCTTCATGTGTGTGAAATAGAATGGACTGAGTGATGGCTTTGACTCACTGCTTAGTCATAGGGCTTCCCTCCCATATGGGTTTGTTCATGTGAGTAAAGGCTAGAGGACTGTGTGAAGGTTTTGCCACACTGCTTACATTTATAGGGCTTCTTTCCAGTATGAATTCCTTTATGTATTTGAAAAAAAGAGAATACAATGAAGGTTTTCCCACATTCTTTGCATTCATAGGGCATCTCTCCAGTATGAATTTATGTGTGTATTCAAAGGTTAAACAAACTAGTGAAGGCTTTAAAACATTTTGTACATCCACAAGGTTTCTACTCAGTATTAGTTTGATTATGTGTTTGAAGGTAAGAGAAGGCAGTGAAGGCTTTTCCACATTTTTTGCATTCATAGGGCTTCTCCCCAGTATGAGTTCTTTCATGTGAGTGAAGACTAGAGGACTGATTGAAGGCTTTGCCACACTGCTTACATTCATAGGGCTTCTCCCTAGTATGAATTTGTTTTATATTTTCAAAGGTAAGCTAATACAGTGAAGGCTTTTCCACATTCTTTGCATTTACAGGGCTTCTCTCCATTATGAGTTTGTTCATGTGAGCAAAGAGTAGAGGAATGAGTGAAGGCTTTGCCACATTGTTGACATTCATAGGGTTTCTCTCCAATATGAGTTCGTTCATGTGAGTGAAGGCTAGAGGAATAATTGAAGGCTTTGCCACACTGCTTACATTCATAGGGCTTCTCTGCAATATGCGTTTGTTCATGAACCTGAAGTTCAGAGGAACAAGTGAAGACTTTACCACATTGTTTCATTCATAGGGCTTCTCTCCAGCATGAGTTCGTTCATGTGAGTGAAGGTAAGATGACCGAGTAAAGGCTTTACCACACTGTTGACATTCATAGGGCCTCTCTCCAGTATGAATTCGTTCATGTGAGCGAAGGCTAGAGGAATAATTGAAGGCTTTGCCACACTGCTTACATTCATAGGGCTTCTCTCCATTATGAATCCTTTCATGTGAGTGAAGGCTAGAGGAATAAATGAAGCCTTTGCCACACCGCTTACATTCATAAGCCTTCTCTCCATATGAGCTCTTTCGTGTAAGCGAAAGCTAGAGGAATGTCTGAAGGCTCTGCCACATTGCTTACATTCATAGGGCTTCTCTCCAGTATGAATTCGTTCATGTGAGTGAAGGTAAGGTAACCGAGTGAAGGCTTTACCACATTGTTGACATTCATAGGGCTTCGTATGAGTTCGTTCATGTGAATGAAGGCTAGAGGAATGAATGAAGGCTTTGCCACACTGCTCACATTCATAGGGCTTCTCTCCATTATGAGCTCTTTCATGTGAGTAAAAGGTAGAGAAATGAGTGAAGGTTTTGCCACACTGCTTACATTCATAGGGCTTTTCTCCAGTATGAGTTCGTTCATGTGCATGAAGATAAGATAACCGAGTGAAGGCTTTACCACATTGTTGACATTCATAGGGCTTCTCTCCAGTATGAGTTCTTTCATGTGAGCGAAGGGCAGAGGATCGAATGAAGGCTTTCCCACACTGCTTACATTCATAGGGCTTCTCTCCTGTATGAATTTGTTCATGTATTTGAAGGGCAGTGGAAGAAATAAAGGCTTTCCCACATTGTTTACATTCATAAGGCTTCTCTCCAGTATGAGTTCTTCCATGTATTTGAAGGTTACCAGATGTAGCGAAGGCTTTCCCACACTGTTTACATTCATAGGGCTTCTCTCCAGTATGAGTTTTTTCATGTGAGTGAAGGTGAGAAATCCGAGCATAAGCCTTGCCACACTGCTTACATTCATACGGCTTTTCTCCTGTGTGAGTTCGTTCATGTATTTGAAGTTCAGAGTAACATGTGCAGAATTTACCACATTCTTTACATTCATAGCACTTTTCCCCAGTGTGAATTCTTTCATGCTTACGAAGTTTACTGGATGAAGGAAAGGCTTTACCACATTG